TGCAGTCTTCATCTAGGTTGTAGTTTTCTAAGATTCAGTATTCATCTTTTCTTTTTCAAGATGTGATCTTCATCTTCTACTTCTCTTGAGATGCAGTCTTCATCTAGGATGTAGTTTTCTAAGATGCGGTCTTCATCTTCTACTTTTCTTGAGCCGCAATCTTTATCTAGGATATGGTTTTCTAGAATGCAATCTTCATCTTTTTCTTCAATATGCGGTCTTCACTTCTCCTTTCTTTGACAATGATCTTGAATCAAATTAGTATTTCTTCAAACCTCAATAATTTGTGCCTCTTGCCAATGTTCAATCTAACCTTATTCAATCTTGAACTTTCATCAATATCCACAACTTCAAATCTTAAAGGCTTAAGAGATTAACAAGTGTCTTTTGTGTCATCTTGAACCATCATTAATCTTTGCCATCTTTGATGATGCTGTAAATTTTGTGAACATGTTTGACATACTATCATCAAGAATTTAATGCATCTACTTGTCAAATGCAAAATTGATGAGTTTTGAACCTTTCAAAGATGTTGAACTCAATGTCAGATTCAGTGATGTTTAAAACAATCATGGGCAAGGTTAATGAAAAATCTTGTGAAGCGCAATGGATTGTATGGACAAAAAATGTAATTTAACTTTCATAAATAACAATTTGACCTAGAATACAATTAAGATGTCCCTTTCATACAAATGGTTTTTTTTTCCTCTCTTTTTCTCTTTTTCTTTTTCAAAAGTGACACCCAAAACACAAACTTCTTTTCTCACTCTTCTCTTTTGAATCATCCCCCCCCCCCCTTTTTTCTTTTTGTCCAAAAAAAGAATGGATCCCATTTTCACAAACAAACAAATTCCTCAAGAATAGCTTTGTAAGGATTCAAATCATAACAATAGTGAAAATGCTTTGAGGATTAACAATTAATAGAATTTTGAGATTTCAAAAATTTGAATTTTGGCTAGAGTAATGAAAATTTTCTACCAATAGAATCTCAACTTGTTTGCCATATTTGTTTCTCTTCATCTTCCTTCTTTCTTTTCCTTTCTTTCTTTTTTTTTTTTTTTTTTAAAGAAATATCACACTCAGAATCAATAGCTTTTAGATTCTCTGATGAGGGTTGTGAAAAAGCTTGTATCATGGTCTAGGGCTTGCTGAAATAGAAAGAAAGGATGTATAAGCTCAATGATAAAATCCCTTCTACCCCTTAATTTCACTCTTTGCACCCTACGCTCTTGATGCGGGTACATTCAAAGCAACAATCATCCTGGCTTTTCTATTATGATGATTAATTCCCTTTTCATTTAGCTCAAAGTGAAACCGATTTCTTGCTTATTTTGGTATTTTTTTATACAAATTGAAAATAACCCAAAATTAAAGTATGTGGTAATCATATTTATATGGAAGTTGTGAGGTGCCTAACACCTTTCCTACACTTAATCAACCCTCTGATTCTAGTCAATCTCCATGAGAACTTTGGTGATCTATCCCACCTCATTTGGATAGATAGTGACTCCATTTATTTTGGCACGTCCACAGAGATTACTATTGAGTTATTTAGGTTGTTGGCACATTTAAATTCAATTTTATTGGTTTAATTAGGTGAAACTACTAAATCTTCACTTGAAACCTAATTTCTTTTTTGGTTTTTTTTTTCTTTTCCTCCAACTTATTTATTAAAGATATAAACTCCTAAACTACACCTTAGGATAAATTCAATGAATAGAAAATACTAATATTAGACATGATTGTGACATCTCATAGGAGATACACATGAGAATGCTATGAAGACAATCGAGGACTTGGTTATGGAAACAATGTCCATTGATATTGAAGTTCCATTGATGATGATTTCACTCTACACTAACTTTCTTTCGCTATATTTACTGTTATGTTAGCGATAGTCTAAGCGCAATCAACTTTACAGATCTGTATATGTATGAGATTTATAGTGCATAATGGGATTTTGTCCTTCCACACAGTTTTCCTTCTCTCATTGATTTTGCATGGTATTAGAGCAGGAAAATCACTGACAGCAAGCTATTGCTACATAATGTAGCATTGACAACAAGTTTTTTTTGATACACACAATTAGCAAAATGAGCAAAAGAGATAGACATCTAAGGTCAGATCTATCAAATCAGGGGGAGCAAAAACAACCACTAAAACAAGCAACCCAAACTCACCATACCATCTTCATCCAAGCGATGATCCTAGAAGAGTTTTGATGGCAAACCCATTGAATGGAGAAAATTATCACATCTAGAAGAGAGCAATGCAAAATGCTCTCTATGGAAAGAACAAGATGGGATTTGTAGATGGCACTCTCGGGAAACCAATTGTCAATTCACTAGACTATCTAACATGGAAGAACTGCAATTCCATGGTTTTCTCTTAGATCTTGAATATTATCTCCAAGGATTTTTGTGATAATGTTGCATATGTAAAAGAGGCAGATGAAATCTAGAGTAATCTAAAAGAGCATTTTTCTCAAGGCAATGCCTTGCGAGTGCATGAATTGGAGCTTGAATTGGCCACACTCACACAACAAACCAAGATGGTGGTTGCATATTTCACCAAATTGAAGCCAATTTGGGACAAGTTACAAGCCTATGAACCAACAACAATATGTACTTGTAGCTGCACATGTGGAGCAGCAAAGGAATACATGAAGTCTTGAGAATCAAAGAAAATACACCAATTTTTGATGTGAATGAATGACAATTTCTCAACCATTTTATCTCAAATTTTGAACACGGATCCACTTCCTCCTTTGAACAAAGTATATGCCATGGCAACTAAAGAGGAAAAGCAACAAGTAATGGCTTCCTTAAAGGGACTTGTCATAGAAGCTACTACCTTGGTAGCAAGGGCCAATCCTTATACATGCACAGCTCTACCAAGAAAGGTGCATTGTGATCACTGTAAAAAGACTAGACACAACAAAGATAGGTGCTTTGAGATCATAGGCTATCCACCAAATTGGAAGTCGGGAATTGCTAATACAAAAAGTAAGGGAATTCCACCAAAGCTACAAAGTAGCAAAAAGGATATGATCTTTGCAACCAATGTGTTTCATGAATCACAAGATGTTGGTGGTTCACAAGACTGGTCTCCAATTGCCAAGCTCACCAAGGATTTGTGAGATCAACCCCTTTCACTTCTTAGGGGTAATACTATCTTTGGTTGCTCAACCAACTTAGTGGGTAAGACCCAAGATTTTCTTATCGTTGGATTATTGATAATGGACCCTTTGATCACATGACCCTTCATTTGTCTAAGCTTAGTGGGACCAAACCTTATATTTCATTTGTTCACATACCAAATAGATCTTCTATGAAAATATATCATATAGGTAAAGCTATCTTGAATGATGAATTGACCCTTGACAATGTTCTTTGTATTCCAAGTTTTAGGTGTAACGTCCTCTATTAGCAAAATAATGAAGCATCTTAATTGTGTAGTCATACTCTTTCCTAACTTTTGCATTTTCCAATACCTTACCTTGAGGAAGTTGATTGGAGTGGGTAAGCTTCGTGAAGGGATATATCATATAATTTTGGACATGTTGCAATGGCTAATCAGGTGAAGTAGTTTAAGGGGTTGTCATTTGAGTTGTAGCATAAAAGACTTGGACACATGCCCATTGACCGTTTGTCCAGAATTC